GGAAGAGTGTAGTCAATGTCACTGAACTGTGCATGTATAAATTTTTGAAATGGTGTATCTTTGGCTATGTGTATTTTCACCCAAAAAAAAAGGTTGAGAAGTTAGAGGATTGACATGTTGTGGGGTTGTTAACCAATGTCATAAAACAATATGTGTACTACTGTTTCATGAGAAACTATTTGTTCTGTAAGCCTTCACCTGAAGTATAATTTAAAAAAAAAAAGCCCCCACAGACCCCACCAGCACAGCTGCGCAGACCAGGGAAGTGGCTCCGGAGCTGCACAGTACACCCAGCTAGTAGGGGCTCCCAAGTCAGGAAAAGAAAAAGAAAACAACAAAAAAAGGCCCTGGGGATTCCACTAGTGTGGCAGCATGGACCAGGGAAGCAGTTCCCCAGCCCAGAGGTGCTTCACAGCCTTTCAAGGAGATACAAAGATGGCACACGGAGCCAGGTGTTCTAGAGAAAGGAGAGGAGGAGGTAAGAGGTAGGGAAGAAACCAAAAGAAGCTGGGAAATAAGCAACACCAGCAACAAAGGAATGGCACTGAGGGAGCTGGTGTGAGCTGCACAGAGCCAGAACCAGTGCCTCCCGGCCAAGAGACTGTGGCCGGCGGGAAGCGGCGGAGACCAAGCAGAGGGGAGAAGGGTGGGGAGTGGAAAAGCATATATTACTGGTTACCGGGTGTTCTGTCTCCTGCTGGGAGCTCCATGAAGTTGCTTTCTTGTACTCCCTGTCCGCTGATCTCCAACAGGAGTCCAAGATGGTGGATCCGTGCTGCGTTAGCTGATAAGCGACCTCCACTCGTATCTCTCCTTACTTTCTGTTCTCTGTCAGTTTCTTATTCCATTCGGTGCTTGGCTGAGTTCTTTATCTCTTCATTTGATGCCTAGGGTTTCAGGATTGACGGTTGTCTCTGTTTTACTTAGTTTTTCAAGTCTTTTCTGTGGAAGGACGGCATGGTGCTTTTGTCTGTAGTGCCCTGTTGGCTCTGCCTCCTCTCATTTAAGTTTTTTAAGTAATGTTTATTTCTTATTACAAAAATGATGTACGTTTATGTACAATAATGCATGAAGTTCATTAGAACAAAAAATACTTTTTTAAAAATCTCTAATTATAAATGTGCATAGTTTTAAAGATATAGTATATAACTCACTTTCATTAGTTCAGTTTTTCTATGATGTTACCATGAGAACAGGCTTGTGTCCTTGAGGTTAATACAACCATGGGGATGTATTTTTTAGTGTGGTAGATTTTATGTTTCCTGTCACTGAGATGCATGGGAATTGAGATGCTGAGTATATTCATTATACTGTAGAACATGACTTAGCCCTTTCTGTGGGGGCAGCATAAATGGACCAGGATACTAAGAGGAGAATGAAATACACTGGGTAAATGTATGATTAGTCATTGCCAACTTAAAAGAGTCAGATGTATTACTTACTAGGTCAAATGATTTTGAAAGCAACTTATTTTAAAGCCTCACATAGTTATATAGTAATGGTTCTTTTTTTTTTTTTTTTTTTTTTTTTTATATGAAGGTTTACAGAACAAATTAGTTTCTCATTAAACAATTGATACACATATTGTTTTGCAACGTTGGTTGCCAACCCCACAACATGTCAACACTCTCCCCTTCTCAACCTTGGGTTCCCCATTACCAGCTTTCCTGTCCCCTTCTGCCTTCCCGTCCTTATCCCTGGGTTAGTGTGCCCATTTAGTCTTGTTTTACGGGCCTATCTAATCTTTGGCTGAAGGATGAACCTCAGGAAGTACAGTAATGATTCTTGATTTCAAAACTCATTTATTCCACCATATATTATCATTTGGTGTCGACATCATATATTCTTCCTACTTAGGAATTTAATTCCTATTTTGTTACAGCATTCTCTTTGATGCCTCCTCTTTTTATAAGCACAATCAAATGCTACTTGCAGTCAAAAGCTAGTTTTAGCATAACTTACCAACTATAAAACACACTTTTAAAATCAACACATCTAACATTTTATTCTTGTTCCAGGTGATTGATATTTAAATTGCTGTGACTAAATACTTCTCCCCTTATATGTTCTCCAGGTTCACAGTGGAACAGGAAATTGATTTAAAAGATGTTTTGAAGGCTCTTGGAATAACTGAAGTTTTCATCAAAAGTGCAAATTTGACAGCTCTATCTGGTAAGAAATAAATACCAATTTAAAAAAATATATATTCCATAAAAGCTTTTTTTAATGATGATGTTGAATCCTCTATTTTTGATGGAATTTTGGGATAAAATATAGTTATCATTTGCCAGATAAATATAACAAGAAATATATTTAATTTCTAAAAAGAAAACTATAAATGTAGTCATAGCATTAGGTTTATATTATTCCAGTCCTTGCCTTATTTATCTTTGATAGTAATTATATTCTCCAAAAGACCTATCTTACACATTTTTGGATTTCCTATCCCATGTGATACAATGCCTTGTAGAACAGATAATCAATAAATGTGTTGATTGAGTATCTCAGTATGTCCTGCTGTAATAAATCATATAGGAAAGAAAGAAAGGAAAAGAGGATAAATGAGTACCTACTGTGAGAATTGGACACTTTTTGAAAGAATAAAGAATTCCCAGTGAAATGATGCAAATATTTTCCTAAGTCTTTGTACAAAACAGTGGTTTTGAAGAAGTTGCTTCAAAAAATACCTGACACATTGAGGTGTTGAGTAATTTATTTTAAATCTACCAAGAAAAAAATCCAGTTGAATTATTTGATTCAAATACCCTAATAAGGTCAGGGTAAAAATCATAAGATATTAGTAACATTTACATATTTAGAGCATGTAAAATGCTTTTGAAAGTACTTTTATGCAGCTAACCCCAAGAAATTTATCACTGAAATAAGGTACCAGTGAACTTAAGTCTTAGTAAGTGTGTGTAATGATTACGTTCCGTCTTTTCTATAGAATAGGAAAAAGAAAATAGAATCTGTTTTCTGATGAGCTAAAGACAGGTATATATTAAGATAAAAGAAAGTCAGTGCGTAAGTGCTCTTTATATGCAATTTATTGACCTCAATTCTCCATTTAAAGAGAGCTGAAGTGATAGCTTCTAAACTTGGAGTGTGAGGATCCATGGATTGAATTCAGGGAGGTTGCAAGCCACACCCCCCAAATTGCATGTATGTATGTGTTTGTATGTATATGTATGTGAAAGAGCGCGAAGGACAGACAGACAGGGTGGGCAGAATGGTGGGCTTATAGCTTTTATTCTTAAGGGGCCTGTGATCCAAAAAGGTCACACTCTCCCAGATTTAAGGTTGGGTAGATTGTTTTCTAAACAACACTCGGCTTCTAGCAATGAGATGATGCTAATATATTCGGTACCACAACTTCTACCCTCATTTAGAGAGCTTACAGTCCAAAGCACTAATAGAGCTTTTCTAAATATCTACTATATAAATGTTCCTGTCCACACAAGAGAAATGAATTTTCTCTGGGTAAATGTTTCCATGGCTCATATCCAAGCTCTGAGGGCTCTGAGCTTTTCAGTGGCATTTTCAAGAAGGTAGGGCTGATGGGGATTCAATAGGTATTGGTACCTTTGTATCTGAGTTAGAAATGTATTCCTGGCTCAAGCATAGTATCAGTTAAAATTCTTATGCCCCCTTCCATAGAAATTGAGAGAATCTATCTTCCCATACTGGCCAAATTCAAACTGCATAACTACATTCTGCATTCTTAACATAGCTCTATTTTAAGTTTGATTAGAGATTCCTTACTGTCTCACCCAAACATCTAGGCAGTTATTTCACACACATACAACATTGCTGTCTCAGTCCTGAGGGAGCAGCTCTGCAGTGGTAAATCGGTTATTGTGGTTAATGTAGCTTATAATTTCTGACATATTTGGAAAATTTATAAAATAACATTTAAATGTCTTTACTATGTACAGAGACAATAGAGCATAAATATACATTATGAATGGAGATTGTTTGCAGATTTGAAATAACACTGGAATGTTCCACAGAGTTCATACCATCTATATGCAAACTCTCTACTCCTTTGACCAAATCTCCATAAGAATTGGATCTTTCTCAGCTTTCTGCTCACAGCTGCATTCCCAGTACCTCGCACAGGGCTGACACATAGTTGGCACAGAGTAAATGTTTGCTAAAGGATAAAACAGAGGGAAGCAAGGAGAGGTTTCTTCGGAGCCACCTTTACAGTTCTTAGAACACTGGCCTCTTTAAAACATCATTAAGAAATCCAGTATTTGCCATCCTCACACACCACCGATTCAGGTCTTTGGGATCACCTGAAGAAAGATCTAAAGCAAGCCTCTGAAGCTTTCAGTGGGAATTCTTTGTTTATTAAATCACTAGTTTTACCAGAGTCTAGATAGCTCCAGCATTCTAGCCACCTCAATCATTGCATCCATCTTCCATTCTCAATATCTCTCTCTTTTCTGTCGCTCTCTCTCCCTCTGTTTCTCTCTCTCTCACACACACACACATACACACACATTAACGTATGAATCAGTCATTCAAAAACTGTCTATTGACGTTACTATAAAAATTGCCTCTTTGCTTCCTCTAAATCCTATGGCATTTTTTCTCTTCATCATTTCTCTGTGTACCATATGCTCTGCCTTACATGGTTGGTATCCTTTTCCCCTGTCTAGTTTTTGCCTCTCCAAATAACTTGTGAAAACCTTGATGATTAAAGTGTCTATAACACTTAGTAACCCCTGCAAGTACCCACGAAAATTATTTGCGTGCATTAGGTTATTACTTTCTTCTTTAATGAGAATCTCATGGTGTTTAAGATACATAACATTAATTATCTTCCATGCCCTGTCCTGTCTATTCCTTTCATTAAACAACTGTTTTAAGGCAGGTGATGGAAGCCAAGCACTGTGTCATAAAAATGAAATGATTAAGATACCACGCCTGCCCTAAAGGAGTATACAGACTTATAGGGGAGAAAGATATAAATGACTGGATGTAATAAAAGGAAGAATGACAGAAGTGTGGTTTTTTTTGTTGTTTTAGAGCAGTGGTTCACAACCAGGACAGTTTCGTCCCCCCAGGCACAATTGACATTGTCTGCAAGCAGTTTTGGTTGTCGCGACTGGGGATTGCTACTGCCAGCTAGTGGGTAGAGGCCAGGGATGTTGCTAAACATCCTACAATGCACAGGACAGCATCCTACAGCAAATAATTATCCTGCCCCAAACGTCAATAGTGTCAAGTTAGAGAAACCCTGTGCTAGAGAAAGCCTCGTAGAAGCAGAGAAGGAAAAATATCAAAGGGCTGAATGGGAGCCTATTGGGTCAAAACACAGATGAAGAAAATATACATATGTATACAGGCTTTTAAATGTATAGAACATTTTTGAATCACAGATTAGAAGCTGAGAGCTGTGGCTGCCTCTGGAAAAAGGACAGAGGCTTTCAGAGGAGAGAAGAGTTTCATTTTATATACCATTGTGTACAGTTTGTGGTTGTACTTTGTGCATATATTAATTTTTCAACTAAAATTTTTATTTAAAAAACTCAGAAAAACTTTTTAAAATAGCATTAAATAAATAGAATTAAATAGTAAATTTGAAAGCTCCCAGAGAGTGTTTCAGCATAATTGTGACACTGCTACATTCTTAAATTATGTAATACAAATTTTCTTTCTTCAAAAATGGCAAATACAATTTAGCAGTGGGAAAAAAACCTGCTTTACCTCTTGCTTCTGGAAAAACGGAGCGACTTTAGAGTCATTTACTAAGATCTCTTGAATCCACTCTTTCATTTTGTATTCCATGGCATCCACTCTTATTTCAGACTCTCATTACCACTGCCCTAGACTGTTTCAATAGCCTCCTAAATGGTTTCCAATCTCTCTCCAATCTAATCCGTTTTATCTACCACTGCCAAGATTAAGTGCCTTAAAACTCTTTCTCAGATCATTCCAGGCCCTGTTCAAAGCCTCTCTTTCGTCTGCCATGCACCATCAACTGCTCAGAAGGACAATTAAAACCTCAGTTCCCTCCAGCTTTAATTCCTGCTGATTCCACAGATACAGCTTGTGCTCAGGCCAATCTGTACTTTGGCTCTGAGCCTCACAGCCCGCCAATTCCGCATCTCTGTGAAACCTCTCCCACCCGAAATCCCTCCCTTGCCTGCTCTGCCTCTTGAACTGAGCCTCAGCTCAAATACCCTCAACTTCATCAAGTCACCATAATTACACCAACCAGAAGTGATCGCTCCTTCTTCTTAAATTCTGTGATCTTTTATACCTTTCTTTATGGCGCATATCACATTTTATGTCGCATCATTGTTACTTACCCATCTAATATCCCCTGCTACAATTTAAACCCCCTGAAGAGTAATTCGTATGTGTGTTTCCTACAGTGCCCAGCTCTGTGCTTTCTGCTGAGGACTGACCGAATGAGAGAATGAATGAGATGCTTGGTGTTTATTGTATCTATTTTTTTATCTCCATTTGATGTCCATTGCCTTTGACTCCAAATGCCATTAGCATAAAACACAGTAAAAATGCATGCGATAAACACGGAATGTAGAGTGCTAAGAATCATTTTCTTCTCAGGCTCAGTTTAAAATGCTCATCTAGTTACAGCAAGAATCCTGTTATAGAGTAAGGCTGTTTTTGTAATGGAAATGAATGACTGTCAGCATTTGGATTAATAGATAATCCTCTTGGAAGGTATAAGGGAAAGGAGAAAGAGAGTGCTAAATCCTTCAGTATAAAGTACGAGCTTTATTAAAGGAGCCAATAAAATAAAGGAATTAAGAAGACACAGCAAAAGCCATATTCAGGTCAGACTCAAGTGCTGTAGATTTATGCTGCACCAGTCTTACATCCTGCCCTTGTTTGTTCTCTTTCTCCTTGCCCCTGTCAACCAGAGAACTGTGTTTCTCTTCCATTGCCGTAATTCCAGTTCGCCTCCTATTTCCTTGCCTGGACTATTGCAACACTAACATACTTGCTCTTCCTGCCCCTAGCAATTTGCTCATCCAGTTCACCCTTCACCACTGCTGCCACAGTTATTGTTCCAAAATCAAGGCAATAACTGTAGTTAGTAGTTGAGCACTTTACTGTTTGCACCACCCAAAACCCAAACCCATTGCCATTGAGTCGATTCCCACTCGCACCACCTGGGGACTCCTTATTCTTCA